TCCTCTTTTGTTCATTTTACTTTGCTTGGAGTAAGGAAGGTATGGTATGACACCTAAAAATGCATAACAAAATAGTACATTTAAAACTAAACAAAGTTCCATAATTAATAAAGTATCAAATGAATAATCTAATTGACAAGAAAAGAAGAAGTGGATTTAGTATATGTACCATAAAGAGTTTTAGCCATATAATATTCGTGATTTTTTATTAATTTTTTTGCTTTATTTGTAATTTATTTGTATATTGTCATGGCAACCTGAATGACTTAGATGGCAAAGTTGACTCTTTGACTTAGATGACAACATTGTCTGGTTTCCTAATGGACTCAGACGTTAAAGTGTCTACCTAACGGACTTAATAAGATGACTTGTCTGACCAACTGTCCGACTTAGACAGAAAGGTGTCTGGTTTTTGGTCAATTTAGACAGCAAAGTGCCTAGCTAACAGTTCGACTTAGATGAAAAAGTAGCTGTTTAACTTAATATATACTTAGACAAAAAAGGGTTTGACTAACTGTGTGATTTTGTTGTCTGGCTAACTGTGCAGTTTTGACGGAAAAATGACTGATTATCTGATTGACAGTTGGTCAGACAAGTCATCTTATTAAGTCAGTTAGGTAGACACTTTAAACGTCTGAGTCAATTAGGAAACCAGACAATGTTGTCGTCTAAGTCAAAGAATCAACTTTGCTGTCTAAGTCATTCAGGCGCCCATGACAATAATATGAAGAATTACAAGAATTGTGTTTCCTTCTGATGCTGGTACTAACCAATTATTCTTCTTGCACAKGCAATTTTGCAAGCATGAGACATAATCATCAACTCCATCAAGGCATCATTGCACTTTGTTTTTTCYCTACAATGTAAAGGATATATCATTCTACAAGCAAAAACAATTACATGTATAATATTCAAAGAGAAGGCTGCACTTATAGGACCAAGGAGATTTCAGTACAATACACTCTATACTTACCCTTGTCCAGATTGAATGATGAAAACATCTCGTCCTCGCACAGACATTCCTATGTCAATGTTAGTTTCTGCGAAGGTAAATTATATGTTGAATGTTCAAGTYAATAAATAACATTTAGCATTGGTTATACCCCCAAGAAGTACTCTTTAAAATAAGAAATTTGAAAAAACAAGGCTGGTTCAGATGTTGATTGCTGTAGATGGGTTTATGAGCAATTCATACTCTGAATATATTGACATTGGTAGATTTTGTTCAGTTTGATTACTTATTAGAAATCATAAATGTTAATTGATTTAGGCTGCAAACTTCTTGTGAASTAAATGCAAATTAGATAGACGTCTGAACCAGAAGAAGAAACATAAGATAATGCTTTGCYATGAGTATGTTATATAAATATCAATTGTAAACCAGCAAAACATAACCAAAAGGTCTTGCTTAATATGACTAAAGTGAACCACGTTGTGGTGTTGAATCAACTTTCAGTGTTTCAAAATTTAGGTACCTACCTTTATTTTGAAACTGTTTTACTTTGACKGGTGCTAGGTTTACTCCAAGTCTCCTAATTAAGAAACCACCTCAAATTAATAAGCTAACTAARGTGAGATTATCAAAAAATATTTCACATTGAAAACAAGCTTTAATTCATTTGAATACAAAAATTATGAAATTTGAATAAACGGAATTATTATATTAGAGTCTAACATTTGGCCTTAAAATGCACTGAATAATGCTGGACTATTTTACCTCGCTATCTTTTCTGACAAATCCTTTGCTGAATTCAATGCAAATACGATCAATCCAACTTGAGTTGGGTCAGCCATTTTTGTCTTCACCTTCTTCTGCCACAGGCTATTTTGAGGGTAAAATCTGCTCGGCAAAACCCGTCCGGGAGATTATAGTTATCCCAAAAAACACTACTTAGAATCCAAGGTCTAAGTTTTTGTGCTAAGTGCAGAAGAATGAAAATATATCCACTTTGTAGCTCCAACACCACGAGCGCACGTGAAACTYGACGAGCCTATCGGTACTTGTAGATCAGCGGCTTCACAATTATGAAAGATGTCAAAAATTGAAAGAGGCAAAAAATATTTATTTAAAGGCTAAAAAGATAAAATGAATTACAATGAAACAAGAGAATCAGAGGAAACGATTTGTTAGTACTTGTCTGCAACGTAATCCGAGATTTTGTTCTGGTTGTTTCCCTTGTTTATATTTTTAGGAATCTCTCTCGGCTAACATTTAGCTATCTTTTTGCATTCATTATTATCTATTGCATCTACTCTATTCTTATTTTTTGAAGGGGGGAGTGCTGGGTGTGTCTATTTTTCATGCTTGTTTCGTATTGTCATAGAATACATAATATAATCAAAGACTCTTGACTACATGTAAAACATCATTGGACGATAATTTTAATCAGAAATGTAGCTAACCATTCTTTCACGCTGGTCATGCAGTTTTGATTTCTTTTACAAGTTAGTTAGTAAGTATAACGTGACTCTATTCTTGACTCATAAATAGAATCGATATAATAGGGCGGCCCATCATCCATTGTTGAACTTAAAAAGTATATATTACACATCCATCACTYTCCATTATAAGTGCACTTCCGTTGCCCTCTCGTTATTTGTTTTCRTTTTCTTTCTTTCTTTTTTGAAATAGGTGTGATTCTAATATGTTTGGTATGAGGGAGARAAAGACATAGTTGTTGAGTTTTTACAATAAAAGCAAGACGCTCTTAGAGCGCTTACTCGCATACTGCTTTCTGTCGGCTTATTGAACAAATTCATTCAGCGATTGAATGTGTAAAAAAACATGGAATTCAAACAAAAATTTGAAATTAACGATGAAAAAACATGCCGTAAGTCAAATGGTCACTATTGAAACTTAAAAGCAGTACAATCAGTTTATATTGCCCGATTTCGTGGCCTCTGGTGAGCTTGGGTTGTGAACTCTTTTCAACGCCAACTCAAGCATGAATTTCTTRTCTGTACGATGGCAGTTTTCAAGTATAAAGACTGTACAATAGACRTTTATAGTAACACGAACAAGTATTTCTTTAGATTTTGGATCAGCTCGACAATTTTTCCTCTRTAACGCTCTTTTCCTCGTTGCGTGACGCTACAGGAGAGCGTGATTTAGAGCGTGACTTTGATTTSCGAGCTGTGGGTGGTGCCGCAGATTGWCGACTTCGCGAYTCTGTCGGTGAASGGGATTTGGAGCGGGAAMGATGCTTTTCACGGCTTCTGCTACGCCTTGACATAAAATAAAGATAAKAATTAATCTAAAAACTGATAAACATAGAATCATAATGCTGCWATACCTCTTTCGCTTAGAGTCGCGACTTCTACTTCGCGATCGGTGACGACGATGTCTGAAAATACAATCGATTGATTAATTTTAATCGATATAGGATCGGAAAATAGGTAAATAYAAGCAATGGGTATACACTAAGTTGTAATATATAATAATATCTAATAATATACTAATAATATCTTAATTACCGATCTTTGTCTTTATCTCTACTCCTGTAGCTCTCGCCATTYCTATTCCTCTCTCGGCTTCTGTCGCGTCTACGATCTCGCTGCCGATCCCGATCACGGTCGCGATCACGGTCCCGATCTCGATCCCTGTCCCGGTCTCTGTCTCGATCTCTGTAGCGATCCCGATCATTACGTCTTTCATGATCACGTCTTTCCTTTTCTCTTTCTCTTTCTCGTTCTTCTCTTCTTTGCTGTCTTTCTTTTTCTTTTGCTTCTCGTTTCTTAGCAACTTCCCCCTAAAAATAGAAATCGAGTGTGTCTAGAGAGTAATAATAATTTTGGAAATACTTAAGGCATTAGATTTGATTAGGTTTGATTCCAGACGTTTCGCCTTTTCAGGCTTCTTCAGTGGATTAAAACTGTCTAGAGAGTGTTTTCCTTCAGCTMCTGTAACACAGACATGAATCCAAGGAAAGAATATTCTTGTGCGGAAATTTCTGCATTTCTTTTTTCAACCCTAAGTTCCCTCGCTTACTGAGTTAAATGAATAACCATTTTTTTCCACAGGGAACCCGAAATTTATTAAAAACTGAAAAAGGGAGATCCTGCGGTGGAGGGTAGGGAAGGGAAGGAGTACGTACCCTTAGCTCTTCCAGTCTGTCGCGAATCTTGATGAACCCCATGTGAAGTTTTCCACCAAAATGATCAGCAAGCCTAGAAAAAAAATTCTGAATTAGGGACGATATATAAAAGCAGGTCTAGTATAGAAYTAGTGAGGTCAATTATCAAACGTACGGAAACGCAAGACAACAGACGGTGTCGCTATTTGTCATTATTGCAGACCAATGTAATAGAACGCAATCTTCTACAAGTTTAAATATGAAAACGCAGCACAGACATTAGTTAACGTAAATAACCTTGTGAATAACGTAATAGATCATAGACGTAAGGCTAATTCACCTTAGACGATGCAACGTAACATTAACGCAACGCATACGTAAAATAAAGTACTTGTCCTTAATAATTACTATAACCTTAAAAAACAAGAAAGACGTAAAATAAAGCAGCTAACCTTCTGTCATTATCATAAAGGCTGAGATACGCAGCACACACTTCACAGACGCGTAACTTTTGYTGCTGAATTGACGTGGGCGGTAGTTTGTTTCTGTAGATGTCCTACATTCAAGAAGAAAAAAATACATATTTCAATAATTTAGCTGTTCWCAAGAAAACTATACAAAACGAAGATGCTTTGTTGCCTGGGATTTGTTTCATACTGCATATAACATGTACTTTATGTTTTTAAAGAAGTAATAAAAAGTTCATGTACTATGTGGACCAGAAAAAGAACACGTATACGTGATGATTAGCTTACCTCTGCATGTCGTTTCTTTTCTTTTAACTCTTCTACTTCACTCAATAATAACATAGATTCTTCTACATTGCCATCAGCTCCTGTAAACACATATAAGTGGGACGTACATGTAACRTACTGMGTCGCTATTTTGTGCTACAAAGTCCTCACATTTTATATGTTTAGTAAAACAATCGTCATATCTGTTTTTGTGTTTCCTTTACAGAAAAGGCAAAATTATTTCTGTGGACACTGAGGCCATGAGGGATATGGGAA